GCTGCGCGTTTGCGGCCAGACGCTGCCCAGCCTGGGTGCCCAGGACGCCGCCCAGCTGCTGCGCTCGGCACCCAAGGTCTGCGTCACCGTCCTGCCTCCCGACGAGAGCGGCCGACCCCGCAGGTCAGGGTGCCCGGGACGTGGGGAGGCGGGAGGGCTGGGCAGCTGGCCACCACCCACCCTGTGCCTCCCGCGTGGCCGTCAGCGTGCTCTCAAGCGTCCCGGGTGGATGCCTTTCCTTCTGGAAAGAATCCCCGTCTTTTATCCTCTCTGCCCTGCACTTTTTAAAATGGAACCGATTAAGCACTTTAAAAATACATACGTAGAGAGAAAGCCAGGGGCTCTTGCTATGTTGTCCAGGCTGGGTTCAAACTCCTAGGCTCAAGCAATCTTCCTGCTTTGGCCTCCCAAAGTGTTGGAATTACAGATATGTGCCACCGTGCCTGGCCTAAACATGTTTTTTAATGTACAAAAGATCAAATGACAGCCCCCATCTTTTTTTTAAGGTATTAATATGCCTCCCAGCCCCCACACAAATACACACTGTTGATTCCTTATCGAGCTAAGCCAGGTATATGCAAACTTAGTCCATAAAAGGCCAGATAGTAAATTTTGGGGGCTTTCTGGGCCATCTTGTCTCTGCTGCAGCTATTCAACTCTGTCATTGTAGGTAAATGAGCAAGGGTGTTCTGTTCTGCTAAGACTTTTTTTATGGACACTGAAATTTGGATTGTACATGATTCTCTTTTTTCATGAGGTATTCTTTTGATTTCTTTCAACTAGTTAAAAATATAAAAGCCACTCTTGGCTGGCAGAAGAACAGAAACAGGCACATCTGCTTAAAAGAAAAAAAACGGCATAGGCTAGATTTTTTGTCTTTTTTTTTTGAGCTGGAGTTTCACTCTGCTGCCCAGGCTGGAGTGCAGTGGCACGATCATGGTCACTGCAGCCTCGACCTGCTGGGCTCAGGCGATCCTTCCACCCCAGCCTTCCAAGTAGCTGGAACTACAGGCATGCACCACCACACCCGGCTAATTTTTTGAT